TCTGAAATGTTTTCCTGGGCTATCCAAGGAACAGTTTTTGATGTTATTTTGCAATTTCTTTAAATGCCTGAGGTAATCCCCCAACAGTAATTACAGTGTTGGAACCATGTGGAATTTTGCATTGGGTTGGTTTGGATTACTGTAAACAGTCAACTGTAAACAGTATTTTACTATTCTATTCTGTTCTGTTCCAATATTCCTTGTTGTAATCTTTAACCATGGCTTGCCAGGGACCTGGCTACTGCTTTGTTTGTTGTTTTGCTCCTCAAAGTTAATATTAAAACAATTATTCAAACAATGAGAAAAAGTGATTCTTTAAGCATCTGGGCAATTATTCCACAAATCAGTTACTTAAAGGATAATTTCACCTTCTGACAAAAAAATTAAAAGGTGAACTAACTCCAAATATCATAGCCATTTCTCCGACCCCAGCTGCACATAGTAGCTGTAATGCCCCATGCAGCCAGTATAGTGCTCTGTACATTATACACCACAGTACACAATTCCAGAGTGGGTATCCATCATAATGCTCACAATGGCACGTGGTCATTGGTTAGCACAGCCACATGACTGTACTGACTAATAAGAAGCACATCTGAGGCTTCTTCCTTGTGTAAGATGTCCCAGAAGAAAGAATTGCTATACTTTATTAAGGAATCGCTATACTTTAGTAAGCTCTGTCAAATGGATTGTCAGCATTATGAAGTATACTCACTCTGGGGCTGTTTTGCAGTATATTATATTGGTAGCACAGGGCATCACAGCTGCTATGTGCAGAGAGGTCTGGAGGGGTGGCCAGAATATTTGGAGTTCATCTATTCATTGTTAGTTCATCTTTTATTTTTTCATAAAAAGGTGAACTTAAAATTTAAAGCCTTTTTTGTGCAGAGTGGAGTAAAGTACATAGAGTGGCCTGATATCCTCTGGGTAGAATCTTTCTCCTGCTGACACTATCTGTAGAGTTGATACCCATTGTCTTCTATGGGGCCATCTGCTGAAATGTCAGTAGCCACTTGTGTCATCTGGCTGGCTTGTGGTCATGGTACTGATGTAAGGATAGCTCATAGCTAGAGGAAAGTAAATAAAGAAGATGACCCTGTTTGATCATTTGTATGCTAAAAAGTTTTACAAATTACATGCTTTGCTGGTAATGCAGTAGTTTATGGTAATTTGGAAACGCATGAGACAGCAATCTCAAAACAACAGCATGCTACATAACCACAGAGTGTTCCCTTGAAAAGAAAATCTGCACTTAAATTTACCATATGGTGTTGGAGTCACAAACACTGTAGGGACTAGAACACTGTCCTGGAAAATGAGAATTCCTTGTGGATAAGCCTAATTATGCCCCAAAACTCATGCTGCTCTCAGAGTAACACTGAAAAAGAGCTCAAACAGAATTAAAAACTAAGGTGTGATTCTCAAATCTGGTTAGCAAACAAAATAGGCAAATTTAGTGGTCAAGTGGCCATAACTGTGATTATTCCTGAACCCCAGAGACCTACATAAGTGAGAATATTAAGACATTTTTTGCACTGAAAGACATAATGGGCAAGCTGGCTGGTGTGAAATGCTTCAAAAAATGTTCTGGATGCCAGATAAGGGTATTAGCAAATAAAGCTAGACAAGGATAGTTCCATGCTTACAAGATTTAATATACCATAAGGAAGGAAATGCTTAACTCATCTACCATTTGGCAGTGGATCTGCACAGGATCTTTTCCAAAGGAAGTAGATAAAACATATGTAGGACTCAAAGGAGTAGCTTGTTATGTGAATAATCTCTTACTGTTTGCAGCACACTACTGAAAAACATGATTCCAGTTTGAAAGCTATGTTTGAAAAAATCCAGGAAAATGGAATTAAATTCAAACATGAAGATATGCATTATTTTAAATAAGTGCAGTATTTTGGCCTTGTTTTGTGTCTTGTTAAATCATTAGCTTCTAGTAATTTACCTGTGCAAACTGAGGTTGGTGGTATTTATGAAAGGAACCAAAGACATCCGATCAACGCAAACTCACTGCTTTCACAGATGCAGCCAATAAAGATATTTAGAGTGAAAATATTAATCTTTAAAAAATCCAGTAATGTACATCCTTTTGACAAAGTCTATATGATGAAATGCGTCTAAGAATTGAAGTCAGATGCCGGACAGGAAACTGGAAGTGCGTTATCCTCTGTGTTTGTTTGTATTGATTGTTCTTGTGATACAAGTTTTAGGATAGATAGCTTCAGTTTGTGAATGAATATGAAGTAACAGAATTCTTCCTATTCATTCATGTCTAGTGCAGCTCAGGCGGCAGAGAATGGGACTAAAGTATCTATCTCATTAGTTCTTTTTTCTGTCTCAAAAGTGAGATATCAGAGGTCTGTTTAGGCCCCTGATATTTCACCAGAGCCCCCATCAGGGCAGTTAAAATTAAAAAAGATGAAAAAATAAATAACATTTAAAAAAATTAAATTGTAAAAAATAACTGAAAAATAATTAAGGACTCATTCATATGTGCTTTGTTCTCTGAAAGATTGCTTTTCATAGAGAATTTGAGAGGCAGTTGCAGAGAAACGCCATTCACTTTGTGTTGTATTCAATGTGGGATACAATTCCTGTACCAGCTGAGAAGCAAAGCATTGTGGGCCACTGCTTGTGTACACCCCCAGCCACTGCCTTTACAGGTAACGGGGGTTGAGGGGGAGATCAACACCATGGGATTTTACCATCCCCTGAACTCACATGTGAATGAGCCCTAAGGGCTCATTCACACAGATACTCAGGCGTCAACTGAATGAACAAACCACTCATTCACACAGCCAGTTACTTAATGAGGGATGCAGAAACTGTACAAACACAGCCACAGGTCCTAATTTGACAGGTGTGGTTAGTGACCCTGAATGCACACTGTCTGTTTTTGGATCTGTACACATGCACACACACACCTGTCAAATTCCAAATTCAGCTCCAAGCAGCTCCAGCCAGATAAACAAATTTCTTATTTAAACTATACAGGCCCACAGTGCCCACGTGAATGAGCCCCAGGACCTAATTCACACACAGGGTTTTATTTATTAACTCAAAACTGTTTTATCTTTTAGATTTAGCAGTAATATTGTCATGTCTGTGTCTGCTAATAATGATTATGGTATATTTTTAGTGAAAATATCATTTGATCATTTGGAGGTGGGGTGGGCCCTGTCAGGTAGGCTGTACGGGACCCCCTGATTTTTAACAACATCCCTGTGGGCATCTAACTTTTTCTATTGCAGATAATTTTCAGTTTGTATCTCTTGATGCTGACAGAGTCAATTTAATTAAAGACACTCCATTGCATGAAAGGGTAATCAGGCACCAGGAAAAATAACTTAAACAATTATTATACAAATTGCAAAGGAATTACAGAAGAGTGATGTGCAGATTACAAAAGTTAGATGAGAGTAGAGCCACGGCAACATCTTAGTTTAAACACATGCACTCAGTAACCACATCATAACTTTCACTGTACATTTATGCCATTTGGATGCTTGGAAGAACGGATGATAATAATGAACACCAAGTGTAACCATAAAAGGGTGTGATGATAGTTGTAGTTCCTTAGGGCTGTAGTTAGTGTAATGTACATGTTTGTAGCTATTATATGTATATTTTGCAGCAGGCATGTCTCCTGTATCCTGACTCCAGGTTGCCAAGCACACAAAAAAACTACAATAGAACATTATAAAAGTTGGTGATGTTTAGCAGGGAGGCAGCAGAGAGGTTAGTAATATTACTTCTGGATGTAAAAAATTACCGTAAACAAAACCTTTACATGGAGATCCACTGTAATGCTGCTTTTTAACGTAATATAAACACGTCACATCATTACACTTGCATTTACTTGATTATGTTTTTACAGATAGCACTAACTTAATTCAGGTTAATATCTAAAGAGTTTAAGCTCTCTTAAAGAACAATATCTGTACGGCTCATCTTTTAGTTGATTAAGCTATGCTAAAAATACATGTAATTTTTGTAGCTTGTTAACGACTCTCATAATTAAATGATTCCAGATTCAAAATTTCATTTTGCAGTTGATTACAATTTAATATTTTCCGACTCCTCCAGGGATGCCAACATAAAGAGGGAGAAGCATCTTGGTAATTTCCTCTGTATCCAGAAAGTCTCTTTGGGAATATTGTACCCTGAAGCACTCATCACAAGTAATTACTCTGGAGAGTGCATATGGCCTGGGAAAACTTACAGCATTCCTATTATTACTTTTTCGAATTAAATGATAAATATTTTAAAAACTGAAGTTAGGCAAGAGAAAGTAAAGACTGTAACACTAAATACCTTTCTTAAAACTTATATCCTAAATTGAGTTAAACTACTATTATAATTTTCAACCCCTTGACAGCTAGCATATCCTCTACATTCTGGCCAGCTGTTCAAAGCAGAGCAGCTTCTTAAAGATGGGATGATTGTCGTTTATAGCAGCAGTTCAAACATAAGTGCAATTATATAGCACTATTCTTATTGAGACTTCATCACCTGCTAAGCATTTTTAAAAGCATATACAACCGGGGCGGACTGACCATTCGAGCACTCGGGCACTGCCCGAGGGCCCCGGGTCAGTAGGGGGCCCCATGAAATGCCCCTGGTACCTTTTTAAAGGCTTTTTTTGAGTGTGGGCAAGGACATAGGGGCCCCATGATCCCCTATTGCCCGGGGCCCCATGAGTTGTCAGTCCGCCCCTGTATACAACTTACCTGCAACATGTTCCTTCTATGATCTTTGCTGTGCAGCTGTCAGGGCTCCCGGTAAGACCAGAGATGCGTGAACTGACACAGGGAAACGCAGGCTCAACAATATAATTTATTAAGGGTTTACACAAATATAACGCACAATATAACAAAACCAAACCTCCAACTGATAACAGAATGTACAGAGATAAGAGCAGTCAGGGCTGGTGAGGTGGAGTGGTCAGGCGGGCCGGGTCAGGAATCATCGGGCAGACAAGACACAAAGGAGTAGGCAGAGCGTAGTCAGACGGGCCGGGTCAGGAACAATCAGGCAGACAAGATACCAAAGGAGCAGGCTGGAGAGTGGTCAGGAATAGCTGAGGTCAGGACAGGCGGAGTTCATTCAGGGTCAGGATCAAGAAGAATCAGGAATCAGGCAGGAAGCAGACAGGATGCAGGTACAGGGGCTCATGGGAATCAAGCGATTGGCTGGGTCTCCTGCTGATAGGCTTATCTTTTTGCAGGAGAATGCAGGAAGGCAGATTGCTGGACACAGGATTTCCAGAAGCAGGCTGGGCATCAGGAGCCGGTACATCAGGCTGAGCAGCGGGCGGAGGCATGTCAGGCTGGGTAGCAGACAGAGGCATGTCAGGCTGGGCAGCAGGCAGAGGCAGGCTGGGCAGCAGGCACGTCAGGCTGGGCAGCAGGCAGAGGCACGTCAGGCTGGGCAGCGAGCACCGGGCCATCAGGCGAGGCAGCGGGCACCGAGTCATCTGGCACGACAGCGGGCACCAAGTCATCTGGCACGACAGCGGGCACCGAGTCATCTGGCACAACAGCGGGCACGAGTCATCTGGCACGACAGCGGGCACCGAGTCATCTGGCACGACAGCGGGCACCGGGGCCGGACCACGGGCACCAAGGCACCGGGCCGGGCCACGGGCACCGAGGCACGGGGCCGGACCACGGGCACCGAGGCACCAGGCCGGACTACAGGCACCGAGGCACCAGGCCGGACCACGGGCACCGAGGCACCAGGCCGGACCGAGTCATCAGGCTGGATCGGGTCATCAGGCTGGTTCCCGAACACCGGATCATCAGGCTGGATTGGGTCATCAGGCTGGATCAGGTCATCAGGCCGGATTGGGTCATCAGGCTGGATCAGGTCATCAGGCCGGATCGGGTCATCAGGCCGGATCGGGTCATCAGGCTGGATCACGAACACTGGGTCATCGGGCTGGATCGGGTCATCAGGCTGGATCGGGCCACCAGGCTGGATCGGGCCATCAGTCTGGATCACGAACACTGGGTCATCAGGCTGGATCGGGTCATCAGGCTGGATCGGGCCACCAGGCTGGATCGGGCCATCAGGCTGGATCACGAACACTGGGTGGGGATCATCAGGCTGGATCGGGCCACCAGGCCGGATCGGGTCATCAGGCCGGATCGGGTCATCAGGCTGGATCACGAACACTGGGTCATCAGGCTGGATCGGGTCATCAGGCTGGATCGGGCCACCAGGCTGGATCGGGCCATCAGGCTGGATCACGAACACCGGGTCATCAGGCTGGATCGGGTCATCAGGCTGGATCGGGTCATCAGACTGGATCGGGTCATCAGGCTGGATCACGAACACCGGGTCATCAGGCTGGATCTGGTCATCAGGCTGGATCGGGTCATCAGGCTGGTTCGGGTCATCAGGCTGGATCACGAACACCGGGTCATCAGGCTGGATCGGGTCATCAGGCTGGATTGAGTCATCAGGCTGGATCACGAACACCGGGTCATCAGGCTGGATCGGGTCATCGGGCTGGATCGGGTCATCAGGCTGGATAGCGTACACTGGGTCATCAGGCATCAGGACATCAGGCTGAACAACGGAAGGCGGGTTCTCAGACGGCAGGCTGACCGGTTTGGATACTGGTAGGATGGTACTGGCTGGAAAGAATTTTCACTTCTTCTTGGGTTTAGTTACTCGGGCACTGCAAGTAAATGCAGGTCTGTAATTGGATGGAGTAGCTGGGGACAGAGAAGAGCTGGAGGGTGGAACAGAGGAGGGAATAGTTGTTACAGCTGCCTTTTTTACAGGGTTAAAGGCAGGATAGGTGCAGCGAGTGGGAACAGGGTATTGACATGTGGTAGATAGCAGAGTATACTGGGCTGTCATTGGGGGTGCTGTCAGGAATGCAGGAATAGAGCTTTGAGCAGAGGAATAATTAGAGGCAAGATGGGTTTGTTGCAAGCTGCCTGGCTGGGTGTAACAAGTCTGACCAGGATTGTAGTATTGGTTGAACAAAACTCAGCTTACACATAGTCTGTCTGACCAAAGACTGCACTGCGTTTATACACTCCACTGGCACATGTATTGAACATGCTGAATAATGCTCCCAGAAGCAATCTGGATCATCCACCAACAACCATACCAGCGATTCTATTTGACCCACACTGAATGGTGGAAGAAAGTCATTTCTGCTTTCAGGGGTACTAGATGAAGCCAACTCAACAAAAGCCTGAACCAATGGTTGCACCTCAGAGAACTCTGTGCCCTGATCTACTAGGGAATGAGTGACCCATATGCACTCTAGCAGCTGATCCCTGGTATACTCCTTCAGAGTCTGATAGGCATATTCTCTGTCATCTAAGACAAGCAAATACAAGTATACCACCTCCTCAGGATGCATCCTTCCCAACAACAAGCCAAGATGGCTTCCCTGTGCAGCCACTTCTGGTCAGCAATGGCCTTGGTGTAATGTCAGGGCTCCCAGTAAGACCAGAGATGCGTGAACTGACACAGGGAAACGCAGGTTCAAGTATGGTGTAACAATATAATTTATTAAGGGTTTACACAAATATAACGCACAATATAACAAAAACAAAACCTCCAACTGATAACGGAATGTACACAGATAAGAGCAGTCAGGGCTGGTGAGGTGGAGTGGTCAGGCGGGCCGGGTCAGGAATCATCGGGCAGACAAGACACAAAGGAGTAGGCAGAACGTAGTCAGACGGGCCGGGTCAGGAACAATCAGGCAGACAAGGTACCAAAGGAGCAGGCTGGAGAGTGGTCAGGAATAGCCGAGGTCAGGACAGGTGGAGTTCATTCAGGGTCAGGATCAAGCAGAATCAGGAATCAGGCAGGAAGCAGACAGGATGCAGGTACAGGGGCTCATGGGAAACATACACCAAGGCACTGACTGCAGGTCTGGCCATTCCATAAATACACCTGCAATCAGCCTCAGGTGATGGCTGACTGCAGGAGTGAGCTTCTGGTTGCTGAGAGCACCCTCTGGCCAGCCCTGGTACTGCAGCCCACAAGGCAGGTGAGTCCCACCACCATTGGCAAGTCCATTCCCGACAGCAGCTTATGTGGGGCAACTTAGTCTGTATTTCAAAATCTTACCTATCAGCGCTGAATTTTTGGATATTATATTATATTGGTACAGCACTAGCAAAACTAATAAAGTTTATAGTGTATTATTTCTATAGGGATTATGTATGAAAGAGAAGAACCCTAAATGATCAGTCTCTATAATTTCAATTTGTACAGGTCAAGAAAGTACACAAGCAGATATATGGAGTCCATCTAAAAATACACATTATTTTGGTTATGTCTTGAAGGTTGTAATTCTGTAAGTTTAAAAGTTAGTCAAAGCTTTACAATTGGTATTCATCAACCAAGTTTAAGACAGGTGAACAAGACTATGAGACTATTGAGATTCTTTAAAACATTTAAACAGTAAGTTATGAATGCTAACTTTCTTTATTGTAATATTTCTAGTTTAAGGCACAAGTTTAAGGAAAAAATATCTTATGTAAACCTGTATCAGTATATAATATTATTTAATTCAAATGATCAATATAAGAAAGCATCAGTATACATTTTACGGGATGGATCATCTCTTCATTCAATTCACTGCCTTCTACTAGTAATTTGGACAAAGAAACTCAAATAACATTGTTTGCCTGAAATTTCTTTGCAGTAGGGCTGCGTGGCACTACAAAACATACACATACACTAAAACACATCTTTATATGCACGCTAAAAACTCTCCAACTTGTTTTTACATTATTATTTACTGTTACATTATGTATTATGCAGTATTTTTCATCCTGTAATTATTTGCTTTTTGCATTTAAACACAGTTTTCATTTTGAGAGCAGAAGTACTTTTCATCTGTGTGTGTTGTTTAACCTTAAATGTATTTCACCATAGTTCAGAAAGTGACAAAAACCATATTTATCCGTAATTAACCACTTCAACATTGGGCACTTTTACCCCCTTCTTGCGCAGGCTAATTTTCAGCTTTCAGTGCTGTCGTACTTTGAATGACAACACTGTACCCAAACTAAATTTCTATGATTTTGTTCACACAAATAGAGAGTTCTAAATAAACAAAAAGTCCAAACATTTTGAAAAAAAAAATGCATTTTTCTTTGTGCCTGTTATAAAATGTTAAAAGTGGATTGTAGTGAGCGCTCTTGTATAAACACAGCAGCTAGAACACCTAAGGCAACCAAAATGCCTTTAAATGCAAAATGTAAACGAGGGTAGTATGGTGCAGCGCTAAAGGAATTAAACTGAAAACAGTCAGAAGTCAGTGTATTAATATCCGTGGTTTCTTATAAAAGGGTGCAAACTTCCAAAGCTCTTGCGGCCTCAATTAATAGCAATGCGCACTCACCAGAAACGCATGGGTTATGCGCATGTAGGAATAATCATTCAGATGTCAGATCCTCCAAAGTTCAGATGGCAGGCATCCCTCTCACGGTGGGTCACCGAAGACTCAAAACCGGATGCTGAGGTCCCCTTTAAGGTCAATCAGGCACTCCACACTGGTGGTGAAACTCTCTCCTCTGAATGGTACAGGCACCTTCTCTGTGGGGGTAACAGCTCCACAAAGGAGCCCCAGAAAAAAACACAGGTGCCAGAGATAGTGTAGTATGTTTAGGGAAATTTATTTGCCTCAGCATAGAATACAGGGTAGCATGCAGATCCAGACCCATAAAAGGTTAAAATTAGGATTAGGAAGGTAGCAATACTGACCCTAGTAAAGATGTCCGCCGAGCCTCCTCGTGGCTCCGGCGGTACGAATGACGTCACGCTCTGCACCTGTACTCTGCTACATTTCTTTGGTGAAAATAATTAAAATCAGTGTTTAATATTTAGTCTGTAGGAAACTTATAGAGTCCACAAACTATGGTATTTATCTGAAAATTGATCAATCCTGATGTACTGATGGCCTATCTAATTTCTTGAGGCTCAAAAATGTCAGGACAGTACAGATATACCCCAAATGACCCCTTTTTGGAAAGTAGACAGTCCAAGGTATTTAGTAAGGGGCATGACTTGTTTTTTGAAGTTGTAATTTTTTGTCATAATTTTTTGGAAAATGAAGATATAAAAAAAAAGAATTGCAATTTTTTTTACATACTGTTATCAGTGCAGTACAGCATCATCATATAACTGGTGTGGTGGTGATCAGGGACACTGACTAGTGACAGTACGAAAAAAAAATTCCATTTTCTTTTTTATTACATTTTTTTAATGATTTTTTTTAACACACTGTTAGCAGAGTAATATAATGTTACCATAGTAACATTGTATTACTCTGGGGAAGTGATCAGGAATTTTTTCTACACATTATGATTGCTTATAGCAGTGAATTTCACTGCTATAAGCAAGCATTTTACTGAATGAAATTGATTCATTCAGTTTGTTTTGTTGTGATTAGCTGTGATTGGCCACAGCTAATCACAAGATACAGGTGGGCTGTGATTGGCTCTGTCTGTACGATGTGATCACTGTGGCCTATCACAGCTAACTACACAATTGTAATAACAAATGGTGTGAATCAAAGCCAATCATTGTTTACAATTGTCATGTGATCTGCTGTGATTGATCACAGCGATCACATGGTACTGATAGCGGGCCAGTTCACTGATCAGTCTTCAGATTTGGCCCACAGCACAGCCATGCACGAGGCTCGTTCTGGGAGGACATT